ACTAAAGCGTGTTATTTATAAACATTATTTTTAGTGCTCAGCTCCAAAATTTAACAACAACAAGCTACCTTATTTAACACTGGTAACATTAAAATATATTACGTATCTTACGTAAATCACAAAATACACGCTATTTGTTACAAATACACACATGTTATTAATAAAATCGTAGCTAATCGAAAAAAAAAAAAAAACTCGTATATGGATCACGAATTCGCCAACATCAGAATACAAACGCGTTATTGAATTTCGCGTCTCCGTGGCTGTGGTCAGTGGACCTCAAAGTGTACGTGAGAAATTTGAGGTCAAAATCTCCATGAAATTTTAACAAACAGACATTCAACATGGTTTGGCGGGAAAAAAGATCCAATTATATTGCACGGTTTATCCGCCATTTTAAGTCATTTATAAAATGAACCATAATTTCTTTTGAAGTAGTTCTAGTTATAAAAGGGTTATATTGCTTGAATGAAATCAGACTATTTCATGGCGGATACCATTCGTGCTGCGGTCCACCAACTCTTCTAATTAGATGCGCCAACCGAAATATTATGTTGACATTTTCCTTAAACATTAAATGTCGTTAAACAAGGAGTGGCTATTGTACACATTACTCGTATGTAGTGACATCCCTAAGCTGTGTGTTTAGTGTAAATTTTTTAACGTTCTCGATAGCGTACAAGTTAACTGAAATTTGTCTGGAGTTGGAATGTTTGCGTACGTTTGCCGCTAGGGGCGCTGTTCCAACTGCATACAAATTAGAGTTAACTTTTACGCTATCGAGAACGTTAAAAATTTGCACTAAGCACACCGATATATAAGATCTAAACCGAGCTTTTATTAACGTTTTATTAACGTTCTCGATAGCGTAAAAGTTAACTCAAATTTGTATGCAGTTGGAACANTTTATTAACGTTCTCGATAGCGTAAAAGTTAACTCAAATTTGTATGCAGTTGGAACAGCGCCCCTAGCGGCAAACGTAGACAAACGTTCCGACTCCATACAAATGTGAGTTAACTTTTACGCTATCGAGAACGTTAAAAAACTCGCACTAAGCAATTAAATTTACAGAAACTATACATTGGCTCACAGCCCAAAAGACCAAAGGTAAATGATTTGTTAATAATAATAAAAATATGTGTTTTTTTAAGCCTGCCATAGTACCGACTGCTAGACATCGCAGACAACATAAATATTAAACAATAAACGCAATGATAATTTTATTACTAGTGATAATAAATTATTACCGAGAAGAAAAACATATCTACCCCATTGACTATAACATAAATTAAAGCACGTACACATTAGGAACAATTTTTTTTTTCGTTTTTTTTTTTTTTTTAATATTATTCTCGTTAATAATTTCAAACTCGTAACAACGCTGTGTGAGTCTAATGCTTAAAAGTTTATTAAGTTTATTAAGCTCATTTATAATAAATATATCGTCTATTGTTAAGAGTCATGCAGATCCTAAAATACTGTCTGTACGTGTATCCGTTTGAACGTAATCTCTAAAAAAATTTTACAGTAAAAGCTTTTTATACGCGGCCTATCCTTAAAATATATGGTAATTGCATAAATGGTATTATATGAAGGGATACAATCCTAAATAAAAACATACCTTAGGCGTAGTTCTAATAAGGTCTAATTTACTTTTTTATTAGTGCATTTGACGACGCATTTATAAAGGATTTTCGGTTGGATACGTACATATTGAAATATTTTTATCAATGTGTATGTGACGTCACGATTAGATCCGCGAATAAAGAAATCTTTAGACGCGAATATAGGAATTGGTTCGCATTTTTTTTTCAATCCGCGAACAGTTAAAACGAGAAAGAAGGAAGCGCGGATAAGGAGCTTTTACTGTATTTGTTCAGCGTCACAATACGAGCCACCAGTTCAATGCGACGGAGTTGTGTATACACTAAGGAAGTTCTTTTTAATTCTAACGAGTCAAAATATATAGTAAATTGTCTAATAAGAAATACTAAATATATAATAATATATTAATTTACGATCATGCCACTCTGTAAATATATTCTTCAAAATAAATGTAATGGAGTCTTTCACTAAATTGTGAATTTAAACATTTAGACGCAACTAGACGATGATTACGCAAATAATTAGCCACTAGAAAGTCCATCGACACCGGATGTTGGTCCGGGGGCACACTACCCAGGGGCAAATCCGACCCGGGGGCACACCCGACCCAGGGGTACACCCGACCCAGGGGCACACCCGACCCAGGGGCACAACCTACCCAGGGACACACCCGACCCAGGGGCACACCCGACCCAGAGACCGCGTCCCCCTGCGACTATAATACGCTCATAACTACAACTACGGAAAGACGTAAATTCGGAGTTACTGTACAATAGATAAAATAAGTTTTTAAATGCTCGTTGGAAATTTGTTATAAAGAATAAGATTTGTAAACTTTTAAATGCAAACATATTGTCTGTGAGGAAGACCACACAATAGACGATTCTTTCTTCACTGTGTATATATTTTTGTTCATTTTTATACTAACTCTCGAAATAAGATCGGATCTGATTGCTACTGGAATTCGGCTGTAGTATTTTTTCTTTTCCATGCCTGACCTTACTATTTGTAGATTAAGTATGGTTAATATGGATAGTTACATAGATCAACATGATTTATTGAAATCTTACTGTAGCATGGCCGCGTTTTTATAATAAATTAGTAATTCAAAAAAATTTAAATTAATAATAATTTTTAATGTCCATTGCTCATTTTTTTATTTGCGAAAATGGAAAAACGAACTCAAGGGCCACTACTATGTGGGAAGAATTTCGAAAGGTATATTTATTTGTTAAAATACTTAAACCTACAAGTCGTCGCCGTAAAGTGGACACGTTTAGAGGTGCGCCACAGTTGCCATCTGGCGGCGACGCGGGGAACTACAACAATATGGACGCTCAAAATAGTTTAAAACAGCGCCATCTACCGGTGGCGTTCTGCACTGCTACTCTGTTTTAACACCATTGACGCATTATGTTATTTTTAATTTATTAACGTAACGGTTAATTTTTGTGCGATTTTTTAAAGGCACGCGGAGATTCTACGTTGTGCGTGTGCGCGGGAGCCACTCTCCGAGCTGAGATGCTGCGAACCAATAATCTGATAGATAGTTCACGACGCCGCAATGTAGCCGCGATAAGCTCAGGGGTCAACAAACTTACTCATACCTAATTATGCGGTAACGCGATTGCGTTGACGATCCGGTCAAGGTTAAGCGGTCTCTGTTAATAATAATTAAATGGATGATTATACATAGTTTAAGCAAAGAACAAAAGCGAACAATCGAGAACATTTCTAAAATTTTACTGTCTTTTTTTCGTAAATTGCAAATCACTACATAGTATAAAACAAAGTCGCTTTCTCTGTCCCTATATCTATATGTATGCTTCAATCTTTAAAACTACGCAACGGATTTTGATGCGGTTTTTTTAACAGATAGAGTGATTGAAGAGAAAGGTTTATATGTATAATAACATCCATTAAATAGTGGAGAAATCAATAATAAATTACAGTTTCCGAAGCGAAGCGAGGGCGGGTCGCTAGTATATAATATAAAGAAGTTTTTTAAAAATAAAACAATGACTTAGTATCAAATTGAGGCCTTACATGCGCGTCGGGGTCCAGCCTCAAGCGAGCGAAGCTGCCACATTGGACTGTGGGGGTGAATGACAATGCTTATCTTAAGCAACGTTTCTAACAGCACAATGAGAAGATACAGAGACACAGCCTAGCATAGCAGAATCCGTCGATTAGAATGCTGCCTTTAATGATTCTATTAAGTGACTAGTGCCCGAGATACCATCGAATTTCAACCGTATCACCACAATGTTTAGATCCATTTTATCTTTTGCTCATTTTACGTATACTAAATATCTTCAATACGAACGAATAAATAAAAAAAAGAAGAAAATTAGTTGACAAACAGACAAATGATTCGGAACTGACATGTCATTGTTTATTTACATATGTATATGTATGGATAAATACTAATAATAATAACCGGGGACGAGGCACCCGGTCCCCCGCCGCCCCCAGACTGCGGGTGACAGGGACGGATGTACGTATCGACGGAAGAAACTCAACTATACACCAGAGGCATTAAACTATTTCAAAAATTCATGTCATATATTTATAAAGACAGAGACTTGAAAATTGGTATGTACATATTTATATTAAAAATTGATTTAGTCCAAAGTGCGAGTTACGAAATTTACGCTTTCTCCCGTCGATATGTACGATCAGATATATATCCATACATAAACATTACGCAGATTATTGCGCGAAAGACGATATGTGTAAGAGGGGAGTGAGCGAAGAAATTGTATATGATAGAGGAGTATGGAAGGAGAAAATCATGTTGCGCCGACCCCAGGTGACTGGGAGAAGGGCAGGTTCTCCAGGCAGGTCTATGATGACATAGACATCACCCAGACAAAGTGCAAACTAATCTGTTTGTCATCAAATGCGGGGTCAAATGGAGGCTGTGCTCATTGACTCCGTGTAGACGTCGTTGTCAGAGCAGTCACTTAAAGCAAACATGGAAGCGTCACTCCAGCTAAACCTGTGGAGGGTAGAGGCAAGGAGCACCATCTGTGTATTGCAAAGTACCCGCCGAAAACGAGCTAATGTAGATGGCGCCACAGTAGCAAGTGGAAGGATTTTTTTAAAAACAGCACCAAAACTACCACACTACACTCTGTTTAAAACTGTCATTTGGTAAAACTGGTATTCGTATTTTTTTTTTTTCAAAATTTACGAAATCCTTCATTAAAAATAAAATATAAGTAATATGTTACTGCCATCTACAGGAGCAGTAAGAAACTAATCGAAGCGAAGCTATCTAGTGGCCAACGCCCGTAAACATTTTTGTTGAGTGCTTGAGTTGCTTATCTATAACTAATTTATGTTTCTTTTTTATTGCTTGGATGGATGGACGAACTCACAGCCCGCCTGGTATTAAGTGGTTACTGGAGCCCATAGACATCTACACTAGCTAGCTACTTCGGTGAGTCTTCCAACGACAAGTAACTGTTTACAGGTGGACACTTCAACTTTTCCCCCATACAAGATGGTGCCCTTTACATCTACCCTCCAAAGTCAGAACAAAGAACTAGGAATATATAAAACTAAGCCTTTGGTTTCCGCTTGCGGCTCCTCCGCCGACATCAACTGTGCTTGTCGGTCACTTCGGTCGCGTCGCCGGCGGACCTGTCGGCCGCGGGTGTCGGCCGGGGCGCCTTGCCGTCGAGTTCGGAAGGCTTGCCGGCGCGGAACAGCATCTTCAGCGCCCCCGCGGACATCAGGTAGAACCAGTACAGCTGCGGGAGCAGGAGGATGCAGATGGATATCTTGCAGCCCGTCGGCAGCGACTGTATCGCCTGGAAAACGAGCGCCAGTTCAACTCACCTGTTTCACATGATTTTCATATATCATTAATGTTAGAATTCATTGCAAGATTCAAGCTCAACAATACTGTAATGTAGTGAAGTAAAAAAATTAAGACATTTTTTTATTGCTTAGATGGGTGGACGAACTCACTGCCCACCTGGTGTTAAGTGGTTACTGGAGCCCATAGACATCTACAACGTAAATGCGCCACCCAACTTGAGATATAAGTTCTAAGGTCTCAAGTATAGTTACAACGGCTGCCCCACCCTTCAAACTAAAACGCATTACTGCATCACGGCAGAAATAGATAGGGTGGTGGTATCTACCCGAGCGGACTCATAAGAGGTTCAATTACTAGAAAAGATAGACCATTGACATCAGAACGTTGCCGCCTACGTTGAGACATGAGTTTGAACAGTTTGAAGTTTTACTAGTATTGTACAATATTGCTTCACCCTTAAAACCGCAACGCATAGCTGATTCGCCACAGAAATAAGCAGGCGGGTGGTGTCTCCCCGTGTCGACTACATAATACGCCCCACCACCAGTCATTACGTAGAATTATGCTTTAAAAAAAGATTTGCGGTGATTCCGTCATCTCCAGTTCATCCACGCCACCGGGAGACGCTGCCTTCATATACATTTCGTATTCTCTTTTCATATCACACATCATACACCATATGTACATAAATCTTACCCGAGCACGCAATGTAATAAGATTATAATATCAGAGGTCAATGACCCCTGGTCTCGAATAGCCGTCGTTTTGCAATAAATTGCGGGACTAGCGGCTGAATGCAACTGTACTATAATGATCTCACATTTATGAGATGTTAATGATGACACATGTCTATGGGTTCCAGTAACTATTTAACACCAGGTGGACTGTGAGCTCGACCAGCCATCTAAGCAGTAAAAAAATATCCAAATTATAATACAATTTTTTTTATTGCCTTTGTAGGCAGACGAGCACACGGCCCACCTGCTGATGAGTGGTTACCGTCGCCCATGGACTTCAGCAATGCCAGGGACAGAGCCAAGCCGCTGCCTGCCGATCTTTCGAAATCTCACAGCTAAGTCGGTACGGTTAGGTTAGTACAGAGGTGGGGGACCTGCACGTAGGTGAGTCCCAGCTCGCGGCTGTAGAGCCAGCACACGTAGGGCAGCGACAGCACGCGGCACAGCAGGAAGGTGAGCAGCATGAGCAGGCCGTTGGCGAGGTAGAGCGGCGAGCGCTTGAGGCGCAGGCGAGCCAGCACGCCGCGCGCGCACACCAGCGGCGTCGACGCCTCCATGCCGTACACCCAGCCGAACGCGCAGTCGCCCAGCGAGCCGCGCAGGTGCTAAGGGGAACCGGCCATATTTACTACTATTCATAAAATGCGATAATTTGCACGGAACATAAAAACTAGCGACTTTTACCGTCTAGTTTTTGAAATACTATAATCTTGATAAAGACTTGGATTGCTTAATTCAAATTTCTAACACAATTGACCAAGAAGTCTGGTGTATCTTCTGAATGTATGATGATACCAGAACATCTATTAGTTTTAGTTCATTCAGTAAGGCATTTTCGGTATCACAGGGGGGGCGGACCCACACGTCGCAAGCGACCCCCCAACACCCCTCTCCCTGATTACGGAAGCTCTAAGTATTAACTTGTATACCCGCTGTCCCCAAACCGAAATGTACCTAAGTATCTCGTGCTAAATCCCAAATTGTGTCTCAGCTGAAGTAGAGTACTCACAACAATGACGAGGAAGCCGAAGCCCCCTATGAAGACGTGGTGCAGCAGTATGACGGGCTCGTGCGCGCAGTACTTGAGGAACGACACCGGCGCCTTCCTCTCGCTCACCCGCCTCCGGACCTGCTCCTTCATCGACTCCTCGCCGGACACCATCTGGATGTGAACCTGGTGGAACGGAATACGAACATAAACAAATCTATAACGGCGAAACTGTTTAAGACGCACACACTACAATTATTAACCGCGAATTCGACGGCGATTTTCACGGTTTGAAGATGGATTTCAAAAGAGCAGTATGTATTGTTGCTCTAGTAGTAAGAAATACAAAAAAAAGATGTCAACGAAAATTTCACAAATGTTGCCAGCCGTAAATTTGAGGAAAGTTTCTTTCATAAGAAATATTAAAATTTGATTAAAATATATTATGAACAGTTATGAGTAGAAGGGTTATTTTGATAATATCCTGAAAAGCACTCCACGCTTTTTTTTACAATAAAATCATTTTTTCTTACACTATTTTTAATTCAAATTTATTATCTATATTTTAGTTGGATTTTCTATAAAAGCGTATATTGTTAGTTTTTTTAAACTATTATTTATTTTTCATTTTTGACGTGACAACGTCTTAAAATTCGATGGAGCCGGCTGCACGCACGAAAAAACATGACTCATGCGGCGTTACCTCGCTCTGAGGCGTACATGTTTTCGTCAAGTATGAAATTCAGTGAAAAGTGAATGTGGTGTCAATTGTTTATAGCAACGATAATTGCGATAATTGAAAAATGAAACCATTCCATCAGTATTTTCTTATGACGTTGTCACGTTCAACTATCGTCAGTAAACCGACTTTACAGACAACCGATTTTTTAGTTGAATTAAAAATTTTTCAATATATTTTTTTTAATATGGAATTGTCATCGGTCCTTAATAAGTATACCAAATTTCGAGTTAATCCGACATTTTGAAGGGGGTCAAACAAAATCATGTTCAAAGATTCCGTTACATACTAACATACATACGTCTGAAGCTAATAAAAGCGTATTAAAAAAAGGATGGACTCTGTCGTGACGTTAGTCCCGCGCGCGCCACCAACTGACCATGTACATGGACCATATGTCGTAGAAGAAGTAGGCGGCTCCGAACCACGCGTACGCCTCGGACATGTAGTGGGAGGCGCGCATGAAGTCGCGGCGGCACGAGTGGCTGCACACCACCACGCCCGTCGCCACGCAGTACACCGCCTGGACGGCAGACACCAGCCTGAAAGATTTTTTTTTATTGCTTAGATGGGTGGACGAGCTCACAGCCTATCTGGTGTTAAGTGGTTACTGGAGCCCATAGACATCTACAACGTGAATGCGCCACCCACCTTGAGATATAAGTTCTAAGGTCTCAAGTATAGCTACAACGGCTGCCCCGCCCTTCAAACCGAAACGCATTACTGCTCCCCTCCACGGTGTTTCTCAAGCGCTATGACATGTTCTTCTTCAAACGAGGCTTGCGGAGAGTATTAAGCGGTAGGCAGCGGCTTGGCTCTGCCCCTGGCATTGCTGAAGTCCATGGGCGACGGTAACCACTCACCATCAGGTGCGCCGTGTGCTCGTCTGCTACAAGGGCAAAAAAAAAATCATTAATTCAAACTTAAAATGTCGGCCGCAAACCGCCAACCAGCCTCCCAATGACCTTAAACCCCAAGGAGTGACCGTCCTGTTTGCGAAAGACTAACTTGTTGTTGATGTCCAAAACGTCTCCGTGGCTCAGTGCGTACTGGTGTCTGATCCGACTCCCGGCCTCCGTGTACAGAGCCCACACGTTCAGAATCTCGAACAGGCTCGTGAAATAAACCAGACCCAGGACGGTCAGAGCACTGCCTCGCGGTACTGATATCCTGCAAGAATAAAAAAATCAAACCTTAACTCGTCTTTTTAACTTTTTTTTTGTACCCTTACTTACTGGTGGTAGGACGTGTTGTGAGTTCGCACGGGTAGGTACCACCACCCTGCCTACTTCTGCCGTGAAGCAGTAATGCGTTTGGGTTTGAAGGGTGGGGCAGCCGTTGTAACTATACTGAGACCTTAGGACTTATATATCAAGGTGGGTGGCGCATTTAGGTTGTAGATGTCTATAGGCTCTAGTAACAACTTAACACCAGGTGGGCGTTAGAGGCGTGCTTCGCAGAATCTACCACCAGATCGGAAACGCGACCCACTGAGAAGATCCAGCGAGAAACTCAGTGGGCTGTGTCTGTGGTTTAATTTACTCGCCGAGTCCTTCGTCACGAGCGACGGGTTCGACGAGAACAATGACCGGTGCTTGTGTTACCTAAAAGCACCGTTAGTGGATCGGGAGGATCCGAAATGACGTGTTTTGGGCGACGTCGACTGTTTACCGTTTGGTCCGCAGGATCGGCTATGTAGTTTCCGGCGGCTACGGTGAGAGGATTCTCGCATTGTGCCGCTTTATCGGGGCGGTTTTTACAATACATTACGTACATTCAAGATTTTAGCTATACGTAACTTACTAATTAACTTTATCTAGACACAAACAAAGTTATCGGAGAGGTTAATCGTTCACGCCGTAAAAACTTACGCAATTGGAAGATAACCCGAATATAATTAAACGAATTTTATTATTATACGTAAAACGCGAGTTCTAGAAAGTGAGTTTAACCAATTTTTTTATTGCTTAGATACCACCAGGACAAGCTCACAGCTCACCTGGTGTTAAGTGGTTACTGGAGCCCATAGACATCCACAACGTAAATGCGCCACCCACTTTCAGATATAAGTTCTAAGGTCTCAAGTATAGTTACAACGGCTGCCCCACCCTTCAAACCGAAACGCATTACTGCTTCACAGCAGAAATAAGCAGGGCGGTGGTACCTACCCATGCGGACTCACAAGAGGTCTTACCACCAGTAAGTTTCGCGCAAATGCTTATCAGTTTACGTAGCTCAGATTTGGTGACTTTACTGCGTGGTTTTTATTTCCTACCCAATCGTTGTTAGCTTAAGGGGCTAATCCAACTTCGCCCGGACCGGTAGGTGAGCTCACGGGCCCAACCTGAGAGTACTGCTAACACTGGCCCTAGCAAGAGCAGTGCTTCGCTGGATCTACCACCGGATCGGAATCGGGAGTGCTGTCCAAAACATAAATCAATTCGGGCGAGACTATTTTTCAATGTCTCAGGATCAATCACGTAAAGAAATTCTTCTTTGGGTACATTTGCATTAAGCCCGATTCATTTTCAATTTTCCAACGGCTCGCAAACCGTTATTACTGGTGATAGGACCTCTTGTGAGTCCGCACGGGTAGGTACCACCGCCCTGCCTATTTCTGCCGTGAAGCAGTAATGCGTTTCGGTTTGAAGGGTGGGGCAGCCGTTGTAGCTATACTGAGAGAACTTAGAACTCATGGCTCATGGTTGGTGGCGGGATTTACGTTGTTAACCATCACACCACCCGCCACCGGAGTAGAGTTCATCCATACTACCTGGAGCCACTGCGGTCATCCACAATGCGTTTCCAGAGATCTTTTTTGCCACGTACCATCCGGCTATGGAATGAGCTCCCCTCCACGGTGTTTCCCGAGCGCTATGACATGTCCTTCTTCAAACGAGGCTTGTGGAGAGTATTAAGCGGTAGGCAACGGCTTGGCTCTGCCCCTAGCATTGCTGAAGTCCGTGGGGTCCAGTAACCATTTAACACTAGGTGGACTATGAGCTGGTCCACCAATCTAAGCAATAAAAAAAATATTTACACGTTGCGTGCTGAAACGCGAAATATTTTCTATCAAAACTGCTTCTAAACTCACAACATTAAAGCTCATTGTCGGTGCAAAAAAACGTATTTGCTGATAACGACGGATACTGATGGTTAAGACGCACGACAACCTTGCCATTATATATTTTAAACATTTCCGACATTAGCGTATCAAACAGAGCAGAATGAACTATACGAATGTTAAGTTTAATTGTTTTGATCGTTACAAAACGATTTATGTATACTAGTGGCCCCGCAGTAGTCGAAATTCGACTATAATTAATTGGAATTGTATAAGTTTGTACACTATTATGATTGTATTTTATACTTCTATAATCACAAATTTCGCCAAGACTACACTATAAAAAAATATTAATAAAATAATATTTAATCTATTCTCAATTTGACAACAAACGTCAAGAACAAAAGTTTGACAATAAATAGCATGCAAGCGTGTGTGCGTCAAATACATGGTATGTTGTGTGTGTAATGTTTTCTTTATTGATTTAATGTATCTTTTATGCATTATTTTCAAAAAATATTAGCATTGTGCACTTCTTCTCTATATTCTCTATAAGTGTCGAAAATTTCATACTCCTCCGTCCGCGCAATTTTCGTAAAAAGGGATACAAAGTTTTTGGTTCACGTATTAATATATAGATTTACGTACACACATTACGTGATTAGGTATCGGACAGACAACACTCCATGGTTAAGTACGTGTTTTTCAACAGACACACGCCATAAAGAAGGTGTTAGAATGTTGACAGAGGCTTATACTAGTTCGCCTTTATAGATTTTCCGGTCACCGTCCTCGTCGAACTCTTCGCTTGCGACGAAGGGCTCAACGAGTGAATTAACCCACAGACACAGCCCACTGAGTTTCTCGCCGGATCTTCACAGTGGGTCGCGTTTCCGATCCGGTGGTAGATTCTGCGAAGCACTGCTCTTGCTAGGGTCAGTGTTAGCATCACTCCGGTTTGAGCCCCGTGAACTCACCTACTAGCTAAGGTTACGCTGCAATAGCCTCTCAAGGACAGTATTGAGAGGCCTAACTTGAGAGGATAAGGGAAACCTATGCTGCTATCAAGCATAGGTTTATAAAAAAAATTAAATAGATTTTGATAAAGCCTTTGACTCGTTTTAGTTTTAGAAGGGCCTAATTTATTTATTTTTTATTTATTTAATTTACTTCAGATTTTGCATCCATATTACACTTCATTACATTGCATTGCATTGCATTGCAAGACACACAGATAATGTTTCTAAGCAGTTTCAGCCTTTTTAAACCACTTTTACGGTTTAAGCTCAGGTTTCTTTTAATTATAATTATATTATTTTTGACGTTTCGACTACTTTACTTTTCGTGGTAATGGACACAGGTCAGTCAAAAACGGATGTGAAATACGGGCTCTGTTTCTAAAACCCTATAGATATCTTCGCGTTCATAACCGGAATCACTGAACTTACCTCTCGTCCGGTTCCAGCCAGATGACGAGGTTGAGAGCAGCCAGGAGTGAGGCCACGTTGCTAATGCATAGCAGCCACATAGCTGGCCGAAGGTTTTGGGGCTGTAACGATAAATAAATGTAATGTAAATAAAAAAAACAATTAAGACCTTTCTTCTCTTTTCGAGTGTTGCTAACATTGACCCTAGCAAGAGCAGTGCTTTGCAGAATCTACCACCGGATCGGAAACGCGACCCATTGAGAAGATCCGGCGAGAAACTCACTAGGCAGATTCGATACAGACTTCAAAATGTCATGAGACACAAAAGGTCGAACAGCTCGCCCGATCTGAGGGGAAAAATAATCTCCAAAATCGCACTCACGGTTGTGGATATGTGATAAAAAAAGATGACTATAAATGTAACCAAAGTCTCTCAGGGTGTCCCGTGAGCTCGTCTACCAATCCGCTGAAGCCGATATAACCCCTCGTTACCCGGCAATTAGTTCAGGGAAAAACACGTTACGTTACTAGTGGAACTCTTGTGAATCCGCACGGGTAGGTACCACCACCCTGCCTATTTCTGCCGTGAAGCAATAATGCGTTTCGGTTTGAAGGGCGGGACAGCCGTTGTAACCATACTGAGACATTAGAACTCATCTCTCAAGGCGGGTGGCGGCATTTATGTTGCATATGTCTATGGCTCCGGAAACCACTTAATACCAGGTGGGCTGTGAATTCGTCCACCCGTCTATGCAAATAAATAAAAAAAAGATATCTTGCCCTTCGATAATTACTTTATACCAAGTGGACCGCTAGCTCGCTCAGCCATCTACGTGATATAAAAATATATCAAGAGCTCACGAGTGCTTTCTCCGGTTGAGCCCCGCGAACTCACCTACAAACGTTAGGGCGAAGCTGAAATAGCCTCTCAAGGCTATCAGCATAGGTAGGGAAAAAAAAACGAGTGCTGAAAATTAATAAATAATCAAACACCTCTCTGTCAATTCCAATTATTTCCAATAAGATATTATGTATGTTATACATATACATATATTTAAGTACCTAATATCACTATAACACTACACCTACCAAGGTTCATCTCTGCACTCCCCTAAGGTAGACTGTCAGAGAATGCCTATGGCATTAAGTCAGCCTTTATACTGTCAAGTATATAAAGTTATAAATCACTACATAGTATAAAACAAAGTCGCTTTCTCTGTCCCTATATCTATATGTATGCTTCAATCTTTAAAACTACGCAACGGATTTTGATGCGTTTTTTTTAATTAATAGAGTGATTGAAGAGGAAGGTTTATATGTATAATAACATCCATTAAATAGTGGAGAAATCAATAATAAATTACAGTTTCCGAGGCGAAGCGAGGGCGGGTCGCTAGTAAATAAATAAATAATGACATCAAACGTTTCTTTAAAAAAACTTAATGTAATAAAAGGTTTCGCATTTAACGCTACGACTACAACAGCTGTTATCTGCACCGCTGAATCATAGGGTCAGGGCTGCTATCCAGTGGCGCGATAAACATCGCTTCACGTGTTGCGATGTTTATCGCCCTTGAATGTTAATCAGAAAGAAACTCGCAACTTACTGCGAGCTTATTCTTCTCGAAAAACGTTCGAACGACTGCCCAAACAGACAACACTGACATTAAGCAAATGACAATGCTAAAGCCTAGTCGCAATTTTCTTTTTCTTTATAATACATACGATGGAAGAGATGCCACCTCATTTTAAACTTGTTACCATACACATCATAATGTGAACGCCGACACTCACTTTGAGACTTGAGGTCAAAGCCTCAATTGTTATGTGTCAATTGTTACGTGTCACGGCTATCCCACCCTTCAAACAAGGAAGTACGACTTCTTCGCGGCAGAAATAAATAGTATGGTGCTGGTGATGGCATGAACATGCTGGCTTACAATATGCTACAACCTATGCTTTACTATTAATTATTATCAAGACTATTTGGAATAAAGATATTTCATAGCACTCTATACCTAATGGACGCCCCTAGTTCATTACGAATTTCCTAAATTATCTACTTTTTTGGATTCGCTTTAGCTCTACAGGCAAAACGAATGTATATTCCCTTTAGTTAGTCATAAATATAATAAGGACTGTTTTTACGGTTCTAATTTCACATTTATTATTTACTAATTTCGTTTTTTTTTTATGAAATCCAAGATCGAATGGTAAATATACTTTTAATAAAATTGTGAATGTTGATGGATAGCAAGCCTTAAATTCTATTTGGAAACATGACTGCAGTGTGAAATAGTAAGCTAAAGGTGTTCTTGAACAATGAAATTAACCTTGAAAGATCGATAAAGTTGTATGGAGAACAAATTGGTCTGAAGACGTTTTCATTTTTCCGTGTTAAATAAGTAGAGGGCTACAGGACCAAGGGAGGTGATGACCAAGATTTCTCATACCTAATAAATAGAAGATTTTATCAGAAAGGAAGGTTGTTTTCTGGGCAGGAAATAGTAGGGTGGTAACAGATATCTGTGTGGAAACACAATGGGCCCTACCAGAAGTAATTATTAATAGTTCGTAAAATTTTAGGCAAATATGGGTTACCGAATATATGGTTAGCAACAAGTAACAATTCCTTCATTCTAGGTCTAAAATTAGCACACATTTATATTTTTTTGTGGTCACCCAATAATTTAAGTTCAGGTGGATTGGCAGACAAGAAATAGTATATGTAATTAGGTAACTCATTTGTGTATGCCTATTACATCTAGATTATGGCACAAATAGATGAATGAAATCAAAATAATAAACAAGAGGACCTACTGTTGATAACAAATACTGGCCTCTCTGACCTCTTCAAGAGTGGTGTGATAATCACTTATTAAATTTATCCATTATCATTTCTTGATCATTGTTCACTTTTTGCAAAATAACACCTTATACTATGCTAAATATGCTAATGTTTAATTATTATTTTTGTGTTTGCATTTGGAATAAAGCCCCATGGTAATTGGATTGAGAATTGAGAACACCAAACTATAAAAAAAATGCATACAATATAGCATACTCAGTCTGAGAATATCGTAAGGACCACAATTTCTATAATTTGTTTACACAGATGTACATGAGTACATCTCGTAAGTCAGAATTTTGATACCACTTTATGTCATAATTTGTCATGCACGATATTACTACTGCATAAACTTTCTACTATATTATTTTTTTACTACAATGTTAACATACAGGTTTAAAAACAAAAAAAAACTCTAAAGCTTATATTATCTTCCAGCTGGACAAATATAATAAATACATAGTGATATTTGAACACAATGTGCGGCGTCAACATGTGAGTCGTCTATTATCAAAGGTGGCAATCTGTGCATTTGGACAAAAAAATGTTATTGATATATCAATACAGATTGATTTGAATATAATCGTCTCCTTCAATGAATATGGTTCAAAACCTGCATTAAATAAAGGTTAATACTTAACCTGTTATTTATCTAAGATGTCGTTCAGAAGAGTTTTGTGACTGCCAATGGAATACAAAGTCAATAATTCGTTTTTCTGATTTACCAATAATTGTCCAAAAGTCACATTGCCGGCTTTGATAATAGTCGACTCATGTATACTCACGTAAAATATCTTTGTGTGGAAAATAAATCAAACAGATGAGGAAGAACTTCCAGAACTCAATAGTTTAATTCACTAATCAACGTCACCTTTGAATAGTGACTATATCGACGCTTGAAAGGCAAACGTGACTAAGCGACAATGTGTGAACTTTACAGTAGACTAATTTAAAGTTGAAATACCTGAAAACAAAATTTATTTTAACGAATCCAGCTGTAGTAGAATCTAGCTAGTAGCTGTAGGATTGAAATGATTTTAATAGACCTAGAAAAAAATTTTTTTTGCGCATCTTATATGGTTATTGCCTATCATTTATGTACAAAGCAGCTATTGTCGCTTAGTCACTTTTGCCTTTCAAGCGTCGATATGTTTATTAGGTAGTGTAGTATTATAAATATTTTCTCATCATAATTATCTTTTCCGATTAATCAGTTTGTAAACCAAATTATAGCTTCAATTTTTTTTTATTGCCCTTGTAGGCAGACGAGCATACGGCCCACCTGATGGTGAGTGGTTACCGTCGCCCATGGACTTCAGCAATGCCAGGGGCAGAGCCAAGCCGCTGCCTACCTATTTGACAAATATATAGGCTCTTAAACTTCACGAAAGGATGTCATTCAGAAAGTGACAGCAAAAAAATATATCAGTCGGAAGTCGTTGGATGCGGAAGGCGGAGGACTGCATTATGTGGAAAGCATTGGGGAAGGCCTATGTCCAGCAGTGAGCAGATAAAGGCCGATGATGATGATGATGATGACAAAGTTATGCTATGCTACTTAACATAAATTAAATTAGATGTTAAAAAACTATGCAAATTAAAGGTTTTTGTTAATTAGTTTTGTATAATGTTAATGTAACTGACCTAGTCAACACCTTACCTGTTGAGGAGCTTAAAAGATTAGCAAAATTATAAAAAAAGTTCACACCTTGCATACCTTTTAAGGTAGATCCATCAATGTTTGAATTTTATATATATATTTATTTTATTTTATTTTTTTATGGAAACCTATTGTCAAATTTCATTCTAATTGGGAAAGTTGTAGCAATAATCAATTAAGTAATTTCTAAAATTCTGTGTAAATAACTTACCTTAGTAAATGTCGGATCCATGACGAAAAATTATAGCACACAACACTACCTGACTACAATTCAATCACACATTATTATATAAATGTAAACAACGCAAAATTATGGTTATTCAATTATTCTGAATAGCGCTATTTAATTTCGCAAGCGAAATTTTGCAGTCTTTTCGGCTGATGAATGACGTCTTCCCGAAGAGTAGGTTTTCAATTTTTAAGACTTTGACACTTTCTATAAACTGTCGAAACTGATTTTGACACACGTCAGTGCTGCCAAAATATCATAGACCTATATAGTAGGGACACGACATATTGTTCTATACGTACAATTGCTTATATAAATAGCACCCATTTTGAAGGCACATACATAAACATATATCTATCTCGTTCTTACTCAGCACTTTAACTCGCAGGAAAACAATATAACAGTATTTCAGTGCGTACATAAAATGAAACATGAATATACGTAAATATATCCGTCTCCGTCTAATGAGGCCGAAAATCCGCCATGTTTAGCGCGCCAAATGTCATTGTCACGTCAGTTCGGCCGTCTGTTTTGGGTTGTACATTATTT